CAGAAGGTCAAAGCCTATGTCTTAGTGTACAATAGTTCAGAATTATCTCACATCGTGGTGCTAGCATACATGTGAAATTCTCGTGTATAAAATATCTCTAGATCCTGACCAGATAGAAAGTAAATGCCTTCAGCAAAGTTGTTCAGGAAGTCAAGCTCTTTTCGTTGGTGGAGTAGTTCAGAAATTTCACACTACGAGGCGCTAGTATATACGTGTAATTCTCGCATATACAATAGCTCGAGTTCTTGACCAGCTAGAAAGTTACTGTATTGGGCAAACTTGTTCAGGGGGCAAGACTTTTCGACTGGTAGACAGTAGTTCAGAATTTTCTCACCACGTGGCGTTTGTATACATACACACTTCTCTCATATGATATATCTCGAGATCCTGACCAAATAGAAAGTTACTGTCTTTGTAAAAGTTGTTCAGGAGGTCAAAGCCTATTGCTTGGTGTTGAATAGTTCAGAATTTTCTCACTATGTAGTTCTAGTATACACGTTAAATTCTTTCATATAAAATATCTAGAGAGCATGACAAGATAGAATGTTACTGTCTTGGGCAAAGTTGTCCAGGGGATCAAGGCCTTTTGGCTTGTGGACGGTAGTTCAGAATATTTCACTTCATGGTACTAGTATATACGTGCAATTCTCGCATATGATATATTTCAAGACCTGCTAAAAATGTACTGTAATCGGCAAAGTTGTCCAGGAGATCAAACCCTATCGTTGGTGGAAGTACATAATTTTCTCACTAGGTGACGTTGAAAGACACGTGAAATCCTAGCATATAAAATATCTCTGAATGACCAGCATACTAGTGCCACGTAAAGGGAAAATTCTGAATAACTGTACACCAACGAAAAGATCCTAACATCCTGAACAACTTTGCCGAAGACAGTAACTTTCTGTCTGGTCAGGATCTAGAGATATTTTATATGCGTGAATTCCTCATGTATACTAGCGTTGCAAAGTGAGAAAACTCTGAATTTAAGTCCATAAGCAAAAAGGCCTTGACTTCCTGAACAACTTTGCCGAAGACAGTAACTTTTTATATGATCAGGATTTCGAGATATTTTATATGAGAATTTCACGTATATACTAGCACCATATAGTGAAAAAATTCTGAACTATAGGCTTTGAACTCCTGAACAACTTTTTCGAAAACAGTAACTTTCTATCTGGTCAAGATTTCGAGATATATCACATGCGAGAACTTCACATGTATACTAGCGCTATGTAGTGAGTAAATTTTGAACTACTGTCCACCAGCAAAAAGGTTATGATCTCTAGAACTACTTTGGCAAAGACAGTAACTTTCTATCTGGTCAGGATCTCGAGATATTCCATGTTGTAACCAATTAAGTCAGAACCCTCGTAGTATGGACACCATTTACGCGGTTTCCATTTACATTTTCTCTATTATCCGCATATTTTGGGGGTTAACTCTAATAAATATTTAGCTTGTTTAGTTAAAAGCAAGTTTTTTGAGAAATACTCGTTGATTTCAGATCGATTGGTAGCTCGGCTGCAAAATGGAAATGGAAAACTCACACTGTTGTACAAAGTGTGGTATATTAATTTATTTGATAAGGCTCAACCGAATTAACTTAACAGAGCCGAGGATTCATGGTCACTATACAATACATCTTAAAGCTATAGTCAAAAGGTACAACACAATAAACACTTTATCTTCCGCTATCCAAAAAGCCTCGTCCATCAGAACTGGAGTCGCTTCCAGTGGTTTCATTGTATGGCAAATTGTTGTACGCCAACGAGGGTCAGAGCGCGTCCATTGCAGCAATGGACGCAAAACGTGGTCAGCACTCACACACTCATCACGAAACGGTTGCTTTCCAAAGTCGACGACGCATCGACCGAAAGAACTGCTGATGAAGAACAATGAGGAGGACCACACAATGGTTGCTGCCGAGTAAACAGACGATCGCGTAGCACACATCGAGAGTGGCCTGCTTTTGTCGACAGCCGAGTGAACACTGTTGTACAAAGTACAACGCGTGAGTACTGGTGTTACAAAAGTTGGCGCGAGTAACGGTGGAAATATAATATAACATAAGGAAACAACTAATCATACTATAAAAAAAAATCATTCAGAAGTAAATCTTAATACGGAGACCTGACTCTATGCTTGCAGTCCATATTATTTTTTGTATGGGCTGTCCATAAACTACGTAGACGGTTTTTGAGAGATTTCAACCCCCCCCCTTCCGTAGAAGACAGTCTCAAACACAAAATTTAAAAAAATTGTATGGACCGTAGACATCTGCCAAGCGCTCCCACCCCCCTAAAGCGTCTACGTAGTTTATGAACAGCCCCTTAGTTGCGTTTGGGAGATAGGAAAACTTTTGTGGAAAACTAGGAACTAGGAAAACTAGGAAAACTCAGAGTGGACCACTCTACGTGTTTTGCCGTTTTTCCCATTTTGAATCGCCTGATAAACAAGAAATATATTTAAAAACAATGAATTCATATAATTTTGATTGATTTACTTACCAATTTAATCAGAAATCTGAGATAATAGCACGATCGACCAACCGGAATTTTTTTTGTCGCTCTTTTGATGATTCTCATTTGATAAGTGTCCAAAATAAGTTGGAAACATTTTTTTACGATCTTTTTTGGACACTTTTTATTTAATACTTTTTAAGTAAAATCTTAAGGTGAAATCTTTATAAACACGTGAAATACATCTTCCAAAGTCAGATAAACTGATTTGATAAAAAAAATCATTGAATTGTATATTTTAGACCAAATTTAAAACAAGTACACTAACGCCGATTCCTCTTGACAAACGTCGAAACATGAAACTTTTTCGATAACATTTTCTAAAACTGCATAAATTGAGCAATTGTAAGCAATTTGAGGTGAACTAATGATCTTGAGACATAGCAAGTAATTGAAAGAATGTAATTACAACATCAACCTAGATGAATTTGAAGAAACTAGACAGTAAGCGAGAAAAATATATGAAAAGGGTCCAAAATATGTAGGGGTCCAATTCAAGTTGGTTAGCCTACTTGCTCTACTGATAATATATAATTTCACCATGCATAATTCTATCAGGATTCTTCTACCCCAGCATTGCTCATTTTTAAATATTCATACTTTGTTTCATAGTTTAAATTACTCATATGCTGCTGCTCTGAAAACAACGTTAAATGTGTCCCATCAACCAGCTTGAAAACATTTCGCAAATTGATTTAACGCTTAAATCTGTACCGAGAAATGCTAATCCTCGAAATTATAAACTTTTCAAGCATAACCTTTCTTAGAGTTAGAAATCCTTTCCTGGGATTTCTCCTGGTACGCCCATCGACTGTTTCGAAGACAAATATCTCGTAAAATCCAACTCAGCAGCTGTTACCAGAGCTAAAATAATCTTTTAAGTGTGTCTGATACAATGTTCATTTTAATCCCACCTAGAATATGTGGGCTTATGCGAAATCATCTCACGTTGCTTGTCAGAGAAGCTACCAGCCAGTCAGTGAAATGGTGGCTGACCGTTTTGACCGGTCATGGAACGGACCCGGAACCTTTTCGTTCGTACCCTGCATCAATCTGTAAAATTTTTGTTTGCCCTGTTTACTCATTTTTCCTCTCCATCCATCAGAGGTAGGGGAAACTGGACACAGTTGATCCCCGGGGACAATTGATACCCCCCCTGATTTCTCGAAATCCAGAGCAGTTTTTTTTTGTTCCGGTAACTTTATACAAAGCTTCGTCTAGACGGAAAGTTTTGGTGACATTTGCGTCAGATTGTGTAACGTAATTGTCACTGCCTTCGACTTATTTTCAGCCACCATAAACATTCTTAATAAGTTTTTGGATATTAATCCGAAATTCATTAAAATTTTACAGATCTAAGCCGTGAATAAGTAACGTTAGAATCAGTTACATACATTATATAATATAGTTGCCAAATGTTACTTTTGATTTTTCGATCAGTTTTATTTGAAGATGAAAACTCAGTTTGGGGTACCAGATCCCCCAGAATTTTGACAAATCCGATCATGGTATGTGTTCAAAAATTAACCAAAGGGGGGATTAAGTCTCCCTTAATTCTTTAAACTGTGTCTCATTGCAAATTTTAGAAAAACGTACGTTTAAGAATGTATACATCATGTCAGAGTTTGAGAGAATAATAAAAAGTAATTTGAAAAGTCCCATAGTCCACTGTCCTTTACAACAGCGCATCTCTTAAAAGGGGATAAATTCTCTCCGAATTTTTCAAAATGCGTTTTTGAAAAAAACGCACATAGTTTTGAGAATTTATTCTTCACTTTTCGTCCAGTCTTTTGAGTACTGATAAACTTACAAAACATATTTCCCTGTGAGCTGGTGCGAAAACCGCATCGTCGATTTTTTCGCTGAGGTCCAAGGTCAAAGCAGGGGATGCGTGTCCACTCTCCCCTATCATCGAAACCAAACGAACACGTGCTCGGGATTCCATTACTACGACGGCAACATATGCTTCCGTCCATATTCAGATATGAATGCGTCTTTCCGCCACATTTCCCGATCAAGTTTTATTTCTACAGTTTGAGAACATCTGCACTGCCGAGACGATGGAAGATGAATCAAGTGGGTGATTTTGAAATGGTTGAAAAATGCCGATTCACCAAAGAGCAACCCTTCACCCCAACGATCCATCATGGAGTTCTTTAATCCTTCCAATAATAAAAAGGTTCGTCAGTATCTCAGGTTCGGTGCTGAAAGCCAATTATCTGAAAAAAAAAGTCATACGTTATTCACCGTAGCACGCTTTACAATCACGTACGTCCGTTTCCGCTAAATCGAAGCCAGACGCACTCTGCACAGGGCGCTAGATTGGCCGCGGACCAGTCTAGACCAGCATGGTGTGTAGACGTATGTGTGTGTGTGTGTGTGTGTATTTTTTCGCATCGCATTTCAAATCCGTCTGTAGGTCGAAAGTCTCAAATTAATTTTATTATTTTCCTCGCTCTTACCCACCACCGCATTAAGCTCGAATATGGTGAAATCATATGGAAGCAAGCGTTACAGACAACCGGCTGCAAGTTTACCGTGTTCAACACGTACCAGGTGAGTTAGAGCTTAATCAACCTGTAGCAGCTTGCGTTGCCCGAAGCCATTTGCATATAGATTGGGCGTAATGCAGAATGGTTATAGGATTGATGTGTATATGTATAAAGGTGGTTATAAATGTTTCGTTTTCGATTTCTATTTATTCAGCAATATCCGGATAGCCTTATCCCGGACCTGGCGGCAGCTTTATCGGCCATTACCGGGAAAAGTATCGACGATTTTATGATATTCTTCGGGCGGTGCTTCGTTCGGTTCTTCAGCAATTTTGGATATGATGAGCTGATCAAGGCTACCGGGAGATATTTTTGCGATTTCCTCCATTCGATGGATAACATCCATCTGCAGATGCGGTTCACGTACCGTAAGATGAAAAGCCCCTCCATGCAGTTGACCGAGGTGGATGAGCATGGAGCGGTGTTGGTCTACAGGAGCACTCGGTCCGGGTTTTCCAAGTATCTGCGCGGCCAGCTGATGGAGATTGCCAAGCAGCTGTACAATATGGAAGTGACGATCAAGGTGCTGGAGAGCCAGAATGATGTGCCCGGTGGGACGGCTGGACCGATTTCGATACAGGGAGGGCTGAAGACGGTGATTGTTAAGTATCGGCTGGACTTCGACAACAAGGAATACGTGAGTACTTGAGCATTTAGTGTGTGGTTTTTGAAGTGATACATCCGGGGATGATAATCTACCCCAGACCTGTCATGGTAGTTACCTAGACAACCAGAAAGCACATATATTCAAAATTGTTTTCGTGATATATAAACATATATACAAACAAACAATTCGTATAGAATGCAAAGAAATGGCTTATACGTACAAAAGTGGAGGCCATATACGTGTATATTTTAATTTAATTCTAAACTAGTTGATTTAACATCATATACGATTTAATATGTAATAACAAATTCATGATACAGTACGACGGAAAAATGAGTAATCGCATATATATATCTATACGATTTCACTTAAACATAATGCGAGGTATGCCATTATTATATGCGATTTTGACTTAAACTGTAGCCATTTACGATACTGTGAGTACATTGTTATACGACTTCTGGTTGTCTGGGTAGTCATGGATTCAGGGCTGTTACACTTGCGAAGCTCTAAAATGAACTCGAGTTTTGTTTCTTTCATATAACGTGTTTAATGCATAATTTCTTTAACGTCTAGCTAGACTATCAGTACGAAATAAAAATGAAAAAAGCACGTTTACATATGTGCTGAACAGTAAAAAATTCTCAATTTTTATAATTATGGAAAAATTCATTCACGTAAACTTGTATATCATTTCACGGAATGGAGCAGCTTGTAAGCTGTTTACAAAGATGGGCTTTCGTGTACACTAATTGCAACTTTTTAATGAAATATCTCAGATTTAGAATGTAAGCTTATATGACGCTCCATTTATGTGCCTCAAATCGAACAGAAATATTCACTTCTATTTCGAACTGAACTGAACCATTAATGCCACGGCAGCCCGGTCATACGACGCACAGTGGGAAAAAATCGACATAAAAGGAGCAAAATTCATTATATCTGATCAGCGCTGATTTAACCTTTGCAAATAGAATCATTCTTATGGGAAAAAGTCTCAGGAATCCAGTGGAAATAGTTTCGTCCTGTGCAGAATAGGGCAAGTTGTGGTTTTTGGAGCATTTTACTCAAATTTCATAAAATTTTGTATAATTGACTTTAAAAATACCTCATTGTGGTTAATATACGTTCTGACATATTATCACTCTTATATAAAAACATCTAGAGAATCCATTAAAAATGGTTTTAAACATGACCAGTCTGTGCAGACTATGCATTTTAGTAAATTTTGTTGAGGTCCGTGAACTAATCGAATGGATTGTATTTTAATAATACTCTTCGTTTCGATTCCAAAGATAATTTATTTACATGAAATCTAGTCATTAATATGTATATACAGAGTATAGTCCGGTAGCGATTTACACAATATCCGAACTCTTCTACACTCTCCGGCTGTCCGTATAGACATATACGGCACGTACATAGTTCAGCTAAACAGTTGCGCAATAAAAGATAGCCCATATTCTATTGTACAACAGTTTGCAGCAGAATCTATTGTAGCTCTTTCCTTACCAACTCGCTTATGGTGTACCATATGCTTAGGGTGATACGAAAATTGGTATTTCAACAAATTTTACCCCAATTACCTTATTTTCGATATTTTTTAAAAGACAGTAGTCAGTGATAAGAAAATCTGTCCAATGATAGTCCTTCTTGAAGGAAAAGGGAATCCAAAAAAATACGTTTTAAATTACATAGAAAGGTAAGCTGATGTATGGTGCTATTCTTTTTCCTAATTCTCCCCTGTTTAAGTTAATCAGTAGTGTTACACGGTTATACGCGTTAGTGCCTGTCATACTATACCCTCGTGTACTGTATTACTGTAAAAATGACTGAGGAATCGAATGGTGATGATTTCATCTTGATAAAATTTCTATAAATTACCCATTTTACCCAATTTCTTTTATACTTTTATACCAATTAAGGTCTGTTATTTTGATCGTTGGGGCACTTTTCCTCGGTAAAAATGTGTAAGGAATTTAATGGTGATGGTCTCATTTTGTGATGACATCAGCTTTTAACCCATTTTCCCGATTATCACCTCTAATTTAATAAATTCGAACTCACGCATGTAATATTGAATACTCGTTTATTATATCATTGTAAATATGTTTAAAGTAATGCTTGTCTCATTTTGCGCAGACTTTAGATAATTAAACATTTTTCCCGATTCTCCCCTTTTATTGAAGAAAAAAAGTAAAATCATACATTTATATTAAACCCTCAAGAACTGTCCTACTGAAAACATCTTATGGTGATAATCCCATCTTAAGTGAACCTCACATACCGTAGAAATATTATTCAATAACTTTATGTATCACATAAAATTAATTATTTCATAAGTTGCACAATCCGTGTTTCGTGTGTAAGGAAACAAACAAAATCAGCGAATCTAAACACATAAAGCAACCAACGATACAGAAAAAACGGTTGCTACGACTACCATGACAAACTCGCTCTGTAACATAGCTCGATCCGAGTGGTAGAAGGATAATGATATATTGCTTGCCTGCTTTGTTGCAATATACACGGATGAGGACATAGCTTGAAATTAATCGAGAAAAGACATAACAAAAAAATTTCCATTAACACACGTGTATCATCTTCAGGTTTACTTCGTGAAGCAGCTGGCCAACAATTTGCTCGTTTCCTTCTACCGCCCCGAGTGAGTTGTGTCGCACGGGCTGCTTGTCATGAAAAAGAAGGAACAAGATTATAACATTATTGATTTCCACCTCTGACATAGCGTTATTATTCGGTTCGTTGATCGCTTGTCATTTTGTCATTTGGAGATATTTTTGATTCCTTGAACAAAATCAATCAACTTTCTAAATATCAGCTTCTTTCCAATTCAGTTCCATTTCAACTGATTCCTTACAGAGTATGTTCCTTACCGCTTATCCTTTTATCTATAATCCTCCAAACGATCATTTCTATGAACCAGTAAATAGAAAATACAAAGATATTGGATTTGATGAAAAATAATGAAAAATATTAACCCTGCTGATCAAATTGATTCTGTTTACGATGCATGTAACGTGAAATCATATATTCATGGCTTACTCGAGGTTAAGACGTGGCAGTTTATCTTTTTTTACATTGACAGGGTTAGGGTGCTGAAAGTTGAAATAAAACTCGATTTCTTTCCGTACAAATTTTCTTAAATCATTCAAAGCACTTGTTTAGGGCTTTCTACACCAAACTTATAAATAGTAACATCTCTAATACTTATTCTTCATCGTGGCTGACATTATAGTTGTATTATTTATCAGAATTGTCATCATTGTTACAAGGTTCGCATTGAGGATTCATGAAATATTCAAGATCTTCTTCGTTTAGAACTGTGTGCCATAACCAATGTTCCGATCTTGGGGTCTGAACGCGCCAATGCAGATTTCATCAAATCTGACAAATTGGCGTCAGGAGAAGTTTTGCGAGCAAGATGGGGACGAATATATTTATTATTTTTGTTGCAAGATGCACCTTGTTCATCGACAAAACTCAAGGGAAATGGCTTAAAACAAACGAAATTATATTGTTTAATATGCATCTTACCAACTTGTCCACGTATTCTGCTAAATGTTTGTATTTATGAACATGGAGGTAGATTTCTTATAATCGGAAACTCTGTGTTCCCAACGTTTGTCTGTCGAATATGTCCCACGGTACGATTTTTTCTAGCAAATCAGAACGACGGTATTTTTGTTGTAATGTAGCTTTAGCTGTAAGTTTATTTTTAGAGTAGTTCATTAGATTTAGTTTTACTTACAAAAATCGGTGTTCATGTGTAGTTTTAAGAACAATTCATTTGTACTAGACAATACTGTTCACTTTTTCCTGCATGATTAAGGTAAGTTAGGTTAGGTTCAAACAATTTAGATTAACAACTTACAATTTGCATGAATTTGTATAAACTTTAGGTAGGAACAACTAATTTCAATAATAGGTTTAGCGGTATGATTATTAGCTGCAAGGAATAATTTTATGTAATTTTAAGCAAATTTAATCCAATTTTTATTAACTTTTCACCTTCTGATAGCACGTTTACTTGATTGAATTCATTCTATTGATCTACAATAAACGAGACAATGTAGATCTTCACGCTCTATCTCTCTTCTCTCTTTCGGTTCTGTCACTGTGATAGTTTCGTTGACAGTTCGCCCGAGCCGCTACTGTACCGTCACAAGCAGTGTTTCCAGTGCCAACATTCTCTCCCCGTAACACTGACCACCAGGTCCAGTTTTACTCATCTCATCAACCTCTAGGACCGCCAATCTAGCCACATGTCTACGCACTAGCCCCCTCGCAGTTTGTATCATAACCTGCCGTATTCTTCCGTCCACCCCCTTGATTGCTTGGACTATACGACCTCGTATCCACTCATTCCTTCTCCCATCGCCAACTATCAAGACCAGTTCTCCTTCAGCTATCGGCTTCACCTCACCGCACCACTTTGAGCGTTTAGTCAAAGTTGGGAGTTACTCCCGGGTCCATTTTCTCCAAAAACGTCGAGCTGTTGTTGTATCTGACCCCAAGAGGTTCGTAGAGCGTCCGCTGGAGTTGTTGCAGGAACTGCCGGTTGCCGCACACCACTTGAGTTGCCCAGAAGAAAATGATTTGGCGTAAGGGATTCGTATTCCTCCAATGTAAGCGGTAGATCGTGAGTGAACGACTGTTCACGACCACTGCAGCTTCCACGATGAATGTCTCCAGCGCCTCGTCATCTAGCTTGCGGTTGCTATTGTATGCTACGTCAACTGCAGCTTTGATGGAGCGCACCATCCGTTCCCACGCTCCGCCCATGTGGGGTGTTCCTGGAGGGTTGAAGATCCACTTCGTATTGGTATCCGTGAATGTAACGGCTACCTGCTCGATCAGCTCATTTAGTAGTCTTTCGGCGACTTGAAAATTGGTGCCGTTGTCCGAATATATTTCCACCGAAGAGCCTCGACGGCATATGAATCGCCGCATGCACTTCACACAGGAGTCAGTGGTGAGGCAGTGAGCGACTTCAACATGTACTGCGCGTA